TGTGTGTGTTTCTGTGTGTGTGTGTGTGTGTGTGTGTGTGTGTGTGTGTGTGTGTGTGTCTCTGTGTCTGTGTGTGTGTCTCTGTGTCTGTGTGTCTGTGTGTGTTATCTCCTGTGATGACAAACCATGAGTCCGCTTTAGGAAACAGCAGCTGACAACTCTCTTAACCAAAAAAGGTCATGCTACAAACTCTCTCTGTCTCTCGCTCGCTCTCTCTGTTCAGTTCACTTTCAGCTCATTTCAGTAAATTCATTTCAGTTCAGTTTGCTTATTATTAACAGTCAATGCTTTTGCAAGTTGTCACATTTGAACATAAACATTTATCCTCAGTAACAACTACTACATTTACACAGCAAGTCAAAGATTATTTTATTTTATTTAAATGTAATTAAATTTTTCAATTATAAATTAGCTTTTAATGTAACTTAATTACAAATAATGTCATTTAATATTTTATTTTATTTTTAATTTTGATTATGTAATTTATAATTATAATTTCATTATAATGTATTTACTTACATTGATTAAAATATAATTATATAAATAATAATATATACATATTAATATAATTTTTTAAATTGTATTTCTAGTAGATTTAGAATTTATATGTATAATACTTAAAAATATAAGGCACTTGTCACTGGTCAACTTCCATCATCTTCGCACTAAAGATAAGAAAAGCACACAATTATGACAAATGTTGAGCTAAATTGACATAATTGCATTAACTGTGATCTGACTGAAGTCACATTATCAAAAACCAGGAATGACATATGACACCAACCCAGATCAGAATTAAAAATGATATTTCTGTTCACACTGTCATTCAAATACAGATTTGTTGCATGTGAGTGGAAATTATTGGATTTGTTTATGAATGCAGACTGAGAGGTTTCATTTAAAAAAAATCTAATTTGATTAAACTAATTAATATATATATTTAATTTATCTAATCTTATCTAATTTATATTAATTATTGAATTTATTATTTGAATTTCTTGTAATGTTGTTATAATCTGTGTCACACTTGAGTGGAAAATATGGGATTTGTATATGAATGCAGACTGAGAAGTTCAGTGAGGTCATATCTATTAATAAATCACACAGACAACTGACAAAATAACTACACAGATACACACACACACATATACACAGACACACACACACACACACACACACACACACACACACACACACAGACACAGACTCACACACACAGACACACAGACACACACACACACACAGACGCTACAGAACATCATCAGAGCCCAGAAGAGTCATCAGTAATGTGTCTGTTGAGTTCATCTGATGCAGGACTGTGTGTTTTATTTTGTGGACATGGTTTGCAGGACACAGAGGCTATGAAGAGAGCGCTGGCTCTGATCGACTCCAAAATGGCCCAAGCCAAGAACTGGCTCCGAGACCCACACGCCCAGCCAGGTACTTCCAGGAAAAACGTCTGATAAAATAATCAGAGAAAAAAGAGGTTGAAAATCATGTTTGCTGATGCTGTGCCGCTGCAGGTGACCCGGGCGAACAGGCCATCCGTCAGATTCTGGATGAAGCGGGTAAAGTTGGCGAGCTCTGCGCTGGGAAAGAGAGACGAGACATCGTGGGAACGGCCAAAACACTTGGACAACTTACTGAGCAGGTGTCCGAGCTGCGGGCCAGGTACTGAACTCCAGATATTTTACTTTACTTTATTTTATTTTAAGTATTTAAATTTTTTTATTTACTGTAAACCAAGGTTGAAATGTGTGTGTGTGTGTGTGTGTGTGTGTGTGTGTATATATATATAGCCAGGTACTTCCAGGAAAAACGTCTGATAAAATAATCAGAGAAAAAAGAGGTTGAAAATCATGTTTGCTGATGCTGTGCCGCTGCAGGTGACCCGGGCGAACAGGCCATCCGTCAGATTCTGGATGAAGCGGGTAAAGTTGGCGAGCTCTGCGCTGGGAAAGAGAGACGAGACATCGTGGGAAGGAACGGCCAACTTGGACAACTTACTGAGCAGGTGTCCGAGCTGCGGGCCAGGTACTGAACTCCAGATATTTTACTTTACTTTATTTTATTTTAAGTATTTACATTTTTTTATTTACTGTAAACCAAGGTTGAAATGTGTGTGTGTGTGTGTGTGTGTGTGTATATATATATATAT